TTTCTGCTTCGAGCCCAGAAATGGGCGAGCCGCTCGCCTGATAGCTCTTAAATATGCCCCAGGGGAGGAGGAGATGGGTTGGATTTAGTAGGACAACTCGGTTACTAATAACTCCAGGGCTGGCTGAGACCCGCAGGGAAATCAGGTGCAAGCACGTGTGTTCGGAGACGCGTGTGTGGGTGTGCTGGGGGAGGGGGGGAGCGCTGGGAAGGGGAAACCCTGAGAAAAGAAACCGCTTTGAAAAACGCAGTGATTTAATTATGCCATGTGGTCCACTCCCTGCACTCTCCTTCCCTTCCTCCCATTCTGCCCTCTTCCTTTGCCATTTTAATCGGGATTCCTTGTTTCTTTCTCCCTGAACCCTGCTCTCTCCTGCCCCCAAAAAAACTAAAGATGCTGAGCAGCGTTTGGTTCCTCAGTGTGTTAATGGTGGCCGGGTTCTTACAGACAGAGAGTCGCAAAACTGCCAAAGACATTTGCAAGATCCGCTGCCTGTGCGAAGAGAAGGAAAACGTACTGAATATTAACTGTGAAAACAAAGGATTTACTACGGTCAGCCTGCTCCAGCCTCCCCAGTATAGAATCTACCAGCTTTTCCTCAATGGAAACCTCCTGACAAGACTGTACCCAAACGAGTTTGTAAATTACTCCAACGCAGTGACTCTCCACCTAGGTAACAACGGTCTGCAGGAGATCAGAACTGGAGCATTCAGTGGCCTGAAAACACTCAAGAGACTACACCTCAACAACAACAAGCTGGAGGTGCTGAGGGAGGACACCTTCCTGGGCCTGGAAAGCCTTGAATACCTCCAGGCTGACTATAATTACATCAGTGCCATTGAGGCAGGGGCATTCAGCAAACTTAATAAGCTCAAAGTACTCATACTGAATGACAATCTTCTTCTGTCACTGCCCAGCAATGTGTTCCGGTTTGTCCTGCTGACCCACTTAGACCTGAGAGGAAACAGGCTGAAAGTGATGCCTTTCGCTGGTGTCCTTGAACATATTGGAGGGATCATGGAGATTCAGCTGGAGGAAAACCCATGGAACTGCACGTGTGACTTACTTCCTCTCAAGGCTTGGCTGGACACCATAACTGTTTTTGTGGGAGAGATTGTCTGTGAAACTCCCTTTAGATTGCATGGGAAAGATGTGACCCAACTGACCAGGCAAGACCTCTGTCCCAGAAAAAGTTCTGGTGACTCCAGGGGCAGCCATGCTGACACACACATCCAAAGGCTGTCACCTACAATGAATCCTGCTCTCAACCCAACCAGGGCTCCAAAAGCCAGCCGACCACCCAAAATGAGAAATCGTCCAACTCCCCGGGTCACTGTTTCGAAGGAACGGCAGAGCTTTGGCCCGATCATGGTGTACCAGACCAAGTCCCCTGTGCCCCTAACCTGCCCCAGTAGCTGTGTGTGCACCTCTCAGAGCTCAGACAATGGTTTAAATGTAAACTGCCAAGAAAGGAAGTTCACTAATATATCCGACCTGCAGCCCAAACCTACCAGTCCAAAGAAACTCTACCTGACAGGGAACTATCTTCAAACTGTCTATAAAAATGACCTCTTAGATTATAGTTCTTTGGATTTGTTACATTTAGGAAACAACAGGATTGCAGTCATTCAGGAAGGTGCTTTCACAAACTTGACCAGTTTACGCAGACTTTATCTAAATGGCAATTACCTTGAAGTGCTGTATCCTTCTATGTTTGATGGACTGCAAAGCTTGCAGTATCTCTATTTAGAATATAATGTCATTAAGGAAATTAAGCCGCTAACCTTTGATGCTTTGATTAACCTACAGCTACTGTTTCTGAATAACAACTTGCTGAGGTCCTTGCCTGATAACATATTTGGGGGCACAGCCCTCACCAGGCTGAATCTGAGAAACAACCATTTTTCTCACCTGCCTGTGAAAGGGGTTCTGGATCAGCTTCCAGCTTTTATCCAGATAGATCTGCAAGAGAACCCATGGGACTGCACCTGTGACATCATGGGGTTAAAGGACTGGACAGAGCATGCCAATTCCCCTGTCATCATCAATGAGGTGACCTGTGAGTCTCCTGCTAAGCATGCAGGGGAGATCCTGAAGTTTCTGGGGAGGGAGGCTATCTGTCCAGACAGTCCAAACTTGTCAGACGGAACTATTCTGTCAATGAATCACAACACAAACACACCTCGGTCACTTAGTGTGTCTCCCAGTTCCTATCCTGAACTACACACTGAAGTCCCACTTTCTGTCTTAATTTTAGGATTGCTTGTTGTCTTTATTTTATCTGTCTGTTTTGGGGCTGGTTTATTCGTCTTTGTCCTGAAACGCCGAAAGGGGGTGCCAAGTGTTCCGAGGAATACCAACAACTTAGATGTAAGTTCCTTTCAGTTACAGTATGGGTCTTACAACAGTGACACTCAAGATAAAACAGATGGCCATGTCTATAATTATATCCCCCCACCTGTGGGGCAGATGTGCCAAAACCCCATCTACATGCAGAAGGAAGGAGACCCAGTGGCCTATTACAGAAACCTGCAAGAATTCAGCTACAGCAACCTGGAAGAGAAAAAAGATGAGCCAGCTACTGTTGCTTACACTATAAGTGCCACTGAATTGCTAGAAAAGCAGGCCACACCAAGGGAGCCTGAGCTACTGTATCAGAATATTGCTGAGCGAGTCAAGGAACTCCCCAGTGCAGGACTCGTCCACTATAACTTTTGTACCTTACCTAAAAGGCAGTTCGCCCCTTCATATGAATCTCGACGCCAAAACCAAGACAGAATCAATAAAACCGTTTTATATGGAACTCCCAGGAAATGCTTTGTGGGGCAGTCAAAACCTGACCACCCTTTACTGCAAGCTAAGCCACAATCAGAACCAGACTACCTCGAAGTTCTGGAAAAACAAACTGCAATCAGTCAGCTGTGAAGGGAAATCATTTATAACCCTAAGCATCAAAGGATGCTGCTCCAAACTGTTGGAAGCAGGGCATTTGTTTTCCTGTCTGTGTTCTCCCTTTCCCATTGTCAGTGGGGGTTTTTGAAAATGTGTGGGGGATGGAGTGAAGCAAATGATAATGCTTTTTCAAGCTTTCTTTTAAATTATTTCTCTCTTACTCCTGTCCCCACCTCTTTTTCTCTCTCTTCTTAGGAATCATCATTGAACATGAATGTTTCTACAATGCATTTTTTCATATATTTTGTTTATGGTTTTGTTGCTCTTCTTTGATTTTTCCAGTGGGGGATGGGAAGAGGAGACTATAGTGAACGAAGAAAGAGTAAGCAAGCTTTTCAAATGAAATTAGCTATTTAGTGTATTTTGTAAAAGATCTCAAAAGATCTTTTGAGTCTATAAACGCTTCTGTAAATAATGATATATGGTATTTTCATCTTTAGTTACCAAGTATAGCCAATAGGCCTCACTTCTTTGTGTTAAAGTGCATTGCACTTTAAGTACATTACTTATATGTTGCTTTTAGCTTTGATAAGCTGAACATATTTTAATGTGTTGTATTTTTGAAATTAAAACACTGTAAAATAGATAAAAATGTCAGCTATATTAAATCAATGTACAGCTTGCTTGAGTTATAGAAACCAGCCTGTCATCAAATGACTCTAGTTCTAGGACTTTATAGATTTAACTGTAAAATATTTCCTTTCTGCTGGGTTTGTTCTAAGTGATTTTATTTAAGTCAACTAAGGGGATTTAACAGTGGACTAGAGGTAATAAACTGCCTCAGTCTGGATTAGGAATTCATTAATAAAATATATTTAACCCAATATCAGAGTGAATTGAACAATTAATGCCCTTCTGTAAATCATTATTTTACATTAACATGGTCAGTGTTTTAGATTATTTTCCTAATTAAGAATACATTACACAACTTGTAATATATTTTCTGCATTAAATTAGATATTTTTATATATTTCAATGATAGAGACTGTATTTCTAACTTTTTAATTGAAATTAATATTTTTTCTGCTTATTGAAACATTTTCTATAAACATACACCAGTAGAGGCCGCCACACACCTCATTTAATAAAGACATATGAGCCATTAAATACCTTGAAGGAAGATTTCAAAGGTGAGATTAAAACTTCCCAAGTAAATTATCTATAAATTCAAGGCAGCAGAGACAAATATAAGGATTACTTTCCTTTAGAATTAAAAGTTAGACTCAGAATTCTCAATTTTCACATGTTCAGAGAAAGCAACGTTTTCCTCTTGAGTTCATTGAAGCATCGACAGAGTGCTATCAAATCATGTACTATTTGCACCTCCAAATAGATTAATAAATACCTAAATCAAGAAAGTAAGCATCTTTTTTTTCTTGTGCCTTTTTTAGGCATGTGTTACTGGAATTTTTCCTTGTCAGTTTGAGCAAGCCTTTTGTTTTGGTTTTAGCGTTAAAGTGATTTTTAACTAACCAAGTTTATATAACATTTATGAAGCCTTATTAGCCTGTAAATAATTTTAGATGCAAACATTGTGTAATTTAAACAAACAGCCTTTCTTTGCAACAAAAATAGTTTTGTTTTGTCTCTTGTAAATCCTTATGCAACTGGGATAGTGAGCTGCATATAAAGTAGTCCAGCTTTTCAAATCCTTATTAAAGCAATTGATGGCGTCTGAAAGAAGCACACTGTTTCCTTTTCATAAATAGGTTACTGCACATAATAATCCTTTATTATCCGGTGAAGATTGAAGTGGATCCTAATAATTTACTTTTAAAGCTTTAAAATGACTAATAGTATATTGTCTGTCAGTATAAACAATTCATGTAACAGGCTTTCAATTAGAAATTACTTAAATACAAATTATCTGGATTAATAATGACTGGTGCAAAATAGTTTCTAAACAATAGAAGGTAAATATACATAATATATATATATATATACACATATATATATTATATATATATATTTCAGGGAAAAGAATGCCTCTAACAACCTAGAACCTCTACATATCTACAGTGACAAGCTAACATGTTCATTCTTTGATTAGAGATCATAATTCCTATTTAAATCCATTAGATAAAAATTGAAAATGGTGGGCTGAAAATGACCTAAGACAAAGTTAATGTACAGAGATTTTACATTTCACAGAAGCTAGTTGAACTTTGAGATATCTCCTGGAAACCACTCTTCTTTGAGTGAAGTGTTTATATATAAAAAAGTTGCAAAAATCCTCTTGTTACTGCTTTCATTTGGTACAACGATAAATACAGAATACAGATGTAAGTAATTTGGGAAATGATTGTGAAGGTAAATTAGTACTATATGTATTCCATTAAGATAGTTTTTAGATTTAAATTATATGACTAGAACTACTAATGTATGATTCTGCTTCAGCATTTATTTTTATTATCCTGAAAATAAAGTTACTACTGTAAAATGCCATTATTCATAGAAAAACAAATTCATTAATTTTAAATAAAGATAGTTTAATATTCATTTAGTCACATGATTTTAAAAAGGCCTCCTTGGAAGAATTCAGATTTATAAACTCTCTTAATAATTATGTTTTAATTCTAGGTTCTCACACTTTTCAGATCTGTGCTTTATTTATATTAGGTTTTAAAATAAAATCATTTGAATTTGGCCCAGACAATTTCATTTAAAGGCATAATATACCATATACTTTGAAGCTTAATTTTCTAATGTAATCACAAACACTTTATGTTTATTAGTTTATTAACATCCCCACTGATTATCTTGTTTTGCTTTACCCACTAAAATGTTTTCAAACATATTTTATTTTAGGATTTTTATTTTGATATTGTACAGCTGGATTTTGTGATTTCACTGTTATTTCACATGCAGCTTGTAATGGGTGTGAACATCAGCAAAGTGAAATGGTTCCAGCCAACAGAATGTGATCTCCCCTGGCCCTGCCTGGAACAGATCTATGTGTCTGGCCCTACAAATGGCACATGGTAAATCCCTTTGCTTCTAGCTCTTAATTCATTGCTTTCCCTGTTTCTGAATATACTTATGGCTAAGTTTGTATTCAAACACTCGAAAGTACCACTTCTCAGTCTGGACACAATTGCCAAGACTCTAATTTGGTTCTGGACTTTGGTCAACCTGTGTGCCTTGTTATTTCACTCCAGCAGTTGGTGAGTAAGGAAATGACCCTTCAATTTCCTCTGCTTTGTCATCTGATCTCTAAGGTGATTTAATTTTCTAAGTATTTCCATATCATCAGACTCTATATTTTATGGATTTTACTAAAGTCTATAAGGAATTAAAAAGAATTTTGTGATTTAAAAAAATATTTTTATTGATTTCAGAGAGGAAGGGAGAGGGAAGAGAAAGATAGAAACACCAATTTTGAAAGAGAGTCATTGATCAGCAACTGCCTCCTGCAAGCCCCCTACTGGGGACCAACCCAGCAACCAGGACATGTGCCCTTGACCAGAATTGAACCTGGGACCCTTCAGTCTGCAGGCTATGCTTATCCACTGAATCAAACCAGCTAGGGCGAGTTTTGTGATTTTTAAGATTCTGGAAATTCATTTTGATTTTAAACGTTCCAGAAACATACTGGATTGCATGCTAGAGTGAACAAAGCCTTCCAGACAATCCTAATCTAGTCATTTCTTCATTCATTCAAATAATATTTATTAAGTGCTTGCTTCTTAGGTGCCAGGTTCTATGCTGCTTGCTGAGGGGGTACAGAGATACAGTAGACAGGATCTCTGCCCCACCCCATCACTCCCATCCCCTGCAATGAGCTTAGTGCTAATAAAGAATATTAATGACAATCACTCATATTGAACAGTGGGAACAGTATTGAAATGCAGGAAGTTGCATTTTTTAAAGGTGATTCTGTACAATGAAATATAAACAGATACATCATAAATAAACCAGCTACATTGTAACTACCATTAACATCTCTTGAGAGTTATATAGCTAAGAAGGAAAACAATCATTAAAATAAAACAAATTTCTGAAGAAACAGAGCCCAATACTGTGGCCTGAAGATAGCTGCACACATGTGCTATCTAAAGATCTCCACTTTAAAGATGAATCCCAAAAATGTAAATATAAAATTACAAACCTAATTAAATTTTCTGGAATATCCATGTTTTAGAATCGATATTTACATTATATATCAGTGGCTTAAAAGATAACATTTTGGTTTAAGTGTCTTTTACTAATACAATACAAAGGCACTTATCTAAATCCTGAAAGAGAAAATTAAGTACTGTATATTGATGTAATTTGCTTCTCACTATTGTTATGAAAATGTCACGTGTAAATTAAAGTTTTATAAATCAAATTGTACTTTAAATGCATTAGGGGAGCTATCATTTAGAGGAAACTTGTAAATTTTTTATAAAGCAGAAACTTTTTTATAAAGCAGAAAACCATTTTATAACGCAAATAATCACTCCCTAACTTACGTTTTGTATATCTGGATTTTCAATATCAACTTTGCTTAAAACAGAACCCATCTGCAAAATAAGAGTGTGTTTTGCCAATGCTGCTTGTACTACCAGTTCCTTGGTTGCTAAGGGCTTATACTTGAAAATTTGCTGCAGTTTTGTGTGAATTGAACCATCAAGCGAATGGTGGAGAAACAGTCCTGAACAGTTTAAGTAGCCAACCCATTTCAACTCAGTTGAACACAGAACTCTTCTGCTCAGCAGTGTCTCCTCTCAGATGTGGCTATGATTCACTAGAGGCTAGAATGACTCCTATAAAGTGCATAGAGTCACAGATTTTATAATTAATATGTTATTATGCAAACATTGAATTGCATGTATGATGGGATTTTTAGCAGTATTTTAGCTTGAAAGTACTTGTGTAAAAACTTAGATTTAGTTGCAAATAATTGTTCTCAAGTTATTGGAATAAATGGCAAATGAACAAGCCCTCGTGTAAATAGACTTCTGCGCCAAATATTGACATTGTTTCAAAAAATAAATGTCATATTTTGTGCTGTTAATAGGCAAACTGAAATATTGGAAATGTGATCAAATGATATTGTGGGTTTTTTGGATAAACTGTTTACATCGATATTTTATACTGTAGTTAGCTTTTAGTTAATAAATATTTGCTGAAAATGAACAATTGAATTAGAAAAAATCTTCAGAATCTTAAGAGAAATTAATGACAAAGTATTACTGGAACCATCCTCTTAGCCTTGATATATGCTGTTTAAATGTTCACAAATGAAGGTAATAATTTTACATATTAAGGGGAAAATTAGCTCTTTTAAAAAATATATTGGGACTTTTCCATGAACATCCGTTAGTATCAGACTAAGCAATCAATAAAAACAATTCAAATAGAGATATCTCCCTAGGAATTGAAACTCTACTGATTTCCGACTCCCCCCACCATGCATACTCACCCACACTACAACCAACAACTTTTCATCATAAAGTTTTAATAGCATAACTGATTTAATAAATTTATATTTTATAAAATAAGAGACAGATTTACACGCAAATCCAAACAACAGAAGTTTTGAATTCATTAATGGAATGCTATTACTATATTCCCAAAGTCTAGAGTTAAATGAGATGCAGGGAAGGGGAGTGGATTTGTTGCTGTAATTGTGGTGATATTACAGCAAAGTGACTTTTTTGTCTGTTGCTTTTAGTTGAACAGCAGAATATACCTGCCATTCACAAATGTATAACAAAACAAAGGATTTGAGATTCCTGTGGTGGACATGAGGACTTAAAAGAGATTATCCTCTCTTGAAATTATTAATTTGCTATATGCACAATATATTCAGTTTATTTACATAGCAGTCATATGGTAGTCTCATTTTAAAGTGTTTTGTTGAAGAATGAGAGTTGGTGCTTAGTACAGTAGATTATCTGATCATTTAGTTGAAACATTTCAGAATTTATGAGAGAAACACACACACACACACACACACACCATAAAGATGGCAGAGAAATTATGGTAACACACAGCTAAGATCCAAAGTTTATTACATGCAGGCAGGGCCAGTTTTAAGTGCTACTTGAGTCTGTCGATTGAACCCAATGATCTCATTCTAGAGTTAAAAGTAGCTTTACTGCTGAGCTGTGAGATTGCCTTGTTATTGACTTTCAGAATTGGGAGATTCTGAGTTGAGAGAAAATACACTCCCTGACAAGCTTGAATGATGAATTCTTCCAGAGCTTATCATTTAGTTCTTCCTATGGCTCTGTGTATTTGATTGATTTGTTCAAGTCTTCCAGATAGGAGAACTTCTTTGTGCTCAAAACTATATAAAATTATATTTCTGTCAGAACATGGTTGTCTCATAAAGTTCTGATTTATACAAAATAAAAACCTACAGGTAATGTTTCACAATAAAAAGTCCTAAGATCTGAGGTTCTGATCTTTATGCTGCTAAAAGTGGTGAGGAGAAGTCATAGCTCTCCTTGGGTCTCAGTTCCCCCATTTGGGAATAGCATTGAACTGGATGAACTCAATAGACATATCCAACTGTAATACTCTATGATTCTTGGCTCTTTGGGGAGTTGTTGCTACTTACAAAACAGGGCATTGGGATAATTATTCAGGTGATCAAGACTGAAAATCTCTTACCCCTCTTCTCCTATCAGTTAACTAATTTGGACTTAGCTTTACTGTTATTTTTTTTTTTTTTTGCAGGATTCAAATACACCATTTGTCTTGGGTTAATTTCTCTTCCTATATTTGACTGTAAATATTTAAAACACTTCCCTTACTTTTTGTAAAGCACAATATCCTACTGATTATTTTGGCGATGGGAATGGGGTGGCAGTGGAGATGACAGAGTTTTCATTTAGCTGTTTTCAGGGGAGTTGTCTATGGGGTTGATAAGTTTAATTATTTTGTGTGATAATTAAGGAAGTTTAACTATGAATCTAAAAAGATCCCATTATCACATTTCAGGTCATAGACCAGTTTTCTCATTTAGTTGTTCATTATCCCACCCTTTTAGGCAACACTGTCAAGTTTCTTATCATCAGGGAAACTGATGGACCCTTGGCCAACTCAGTTGAGCTTCAGAAAATCAATGATTTATTCCAGTGAGCAAAGCTCTTACCTGTCAAGTGGTGTTTGGCCTTTTCCTGATCATAAGCTTCAGCCATGGTTTTACTGCTGGGCCAGTGTGTCTCTATCTGGTCAAATAGCTTTTAAATGGAAACAAACAAAGAAATAAAGCCCTCAATCTTGTAATATTCAGCTGACATGATCTTTGCAAGAATGAAAAAGAGTAAAAAAACATCAATTCAAAATTTTCCTCTGCTTTTCGGAGGTTTCTGAGGGGCTTATTAAATGCATTAGTGAATGAAAGGAACATCCAGTTACACTTTGCTGTGTGGTTTCTTCTGTCATGTTACAGAAGGCTATGAAAAGGGATATATGGTAAAGGTTATCCTTGTCTAAGACATCATCTTAAAAAAATAAATAGGATGCCATTGAGATATTAAAGACAGAATATGATTACATTTCAAACGTGTAACTTGAAATTTGGGAACAAAATATATATTTTAGTTACTGAATTGATCTCTGCAAAGCAAGCACTTTTTTTTAAGGACGTTTCTTTTTTTAATATACTTTTATTGATTTCAGAGAGGAAGGGAGAGAAAGAGAGAAACATCAATGATGAGAGAATCATTGATCGGCTGCCTCCTGCACACCCCCTACTGGGGATTGAGCCCACAACCCAAGGACCCTTCAGTCCACAGGTCAACTCTCTATCCACTGAGCCAAATCAGCTAGGGCAAGTAAGCACTTTTAAAACAATAATCTGGGTAATTTCAAAGAGGGGTTTGTTAAAAGAATCTCATTATTTTTAGATTTTTTGTGTGAAAATTTATCAGAAAGTTTTTCAGTTATACTATGCAAATAGTTCAAATGTTCTGAAAATGTAAAATTAACCGATTTTTTTCTGCTCTTTTAGATTAAAATGGGGAGGTTCTGCCTGTGTTGATGCAGTTGGTTGTTTTTAAGTTGGAATTTTTGTGTTTCTCTCTAAAACAAAATAAAATATACAAGGATGGATATTTATACAAAGACAAAGTATAGTCTTAGGAAGAGAAGGGTAAATATACAATTTCTCAAATGATTTCTAACTGAGGCCCAGGGATAAGGTAGTTTCACAAAATCCTCTTCCCTTGTCTTTCCACAAGAAATCTTTCCCAAGTTTTGAACCCTGACCAGGAAATAAACATTTTCCTATATGAGTAAGACATTGGATTTTACTGAATTCTGTGTGATTTTGGCATTCAATCACACTGATTCCTTATGATTTATTGACTG